GACGAACCACAGCCTGTTTCAGATTAGATGGAAAAATCCCTTGCTCCAACGATGCATTGACAATCAACACAAACCAATCAACCAACCCCTCCCTGGCTGATTTAATGAGCCAAGATGGGCATGGGTCTAGAGGTGAGGTGGTCGCCCTCACAGCCCCAAGAACCTCCTCTACGGTTTCAGGAAGAACAAGCCTAAAAGAATCCCACAAAGATGGACAAGCAGGTGCCTCCGTCACCTCTTCTGGCACTGCGATGGAATTGGAGTCGAGCTCGAGGCGTATCTGAGCGACTTTACCTGCAAAATGGTGTGCGAAATCGCGACACCGAGCTGCTGGGTCATCAGTGACCTCCTCCACCACAGGTGGGTGGAGGAGTTCCCCCACGACCCGAAACAGCTCCGATGATCTGTTTGCTGCAGACGCTATACGGGTGGTCGTGAATGATTTCCTGGCCGCCCGTATAGCCATGGAGTAAGTCTTAAGAGAGACTTTAGCCCGTGCTCAATCAGAGACGTCCCGAGATTTCCTCCATTTGCGCTCTAGCCCCCTTCTCGTATGCTTCATCACAGTCAGCTCCCCGGTGAACCAGGGAGATGGCCTGTCACGACGCAACGAGATGGGGCGTTCGGGTGCGATCATATCTAGCGCCCTGGACATCTCCCCATTATAGAGAGTTACCAAGGCGTCGATAGAATCGCCAGGCTCCAAGGCAGGAAGAACCCCAAGATTCCTCAGGAATCCGTCCGGATCCATCAGTCTCCTAGGGCGGACCATTTTAATCTGTCCTCCACCCCTGCGGAGGTTAAGAGTCGCAGCAAGTCTAAAAGTGATCAGATAATGATCAGACCATGACACCGGAAGGATGTTTTGATCTTCCACTCTAATCATTTCGTTGTCCGCCACGAAAACAAGGTCAAGAGTATGTCCAGCTTGATGAGTGGGACCAGATATTATCTGTGACAGTCCTATGGTCGTCATGGTGGCCATAAAGTCCTGAGCTGCGCCAGATAGGGTGGTCTCAGCGTGGATGTTAAAATCTCCCAGCACCACCAGGCGCTGGGAAACCAAGGCCGAATTGGAGACCACCTCCGCTAGCTCAGACAGGGAAGCTGCTGGGTCGCGGGGTGGGCGGTACACCAGCAGGAACCCCACACTGTCACGGCTCCCCACTTTCAAGTGGACACACTCAAACCCAGAAGCCTGCGGAACAGCGCATCTGATCACGGCGATGGATTGCCGAAAGACTACTGCGACCCCTCCTCCCCGCCCCCCTTGTCTGGCCTGCTGATGCACTCCAAAACCTGGTGGGCACAGCTGAGAGAGATTTACTCCCCCCAGCTCGTCCAGCCAGGTCTCAGTGATGCATGCCAGATCCACCCTCTCATCCAGGATCAAGTCCTGGATGGCCGCAGTCTTACCATTGACGGATCTGGCATTAATCAGCAGGACCTTAAGACCGAGGGGACTGCCAAGGAGCCTACCACTACCTATCTTCTCCAGGGTCGCAAGGACTCTGTTGCGCTTCTCCCTGGGATATCGGTGACCCGCTATTCTCCTCCCCCACACGACTTGAATGGCACCCCCTTCCTCCGGAACCCTCCCCCCCTACATGGCCGGGATCTGTAACTAGTCAGCTCTCAGAGGAAGAAGTCGGGCTGGGGAATAATCTCCCTTGGGCGTTGGGTAGAGATGTTTCTGATGATGAGGTAGATAATGAAACATCAAGGGAGCTGAGTGGACTGAATAAGGGAAGTGTTCTCGAGCGAAGGAGTGTAGCTGGTTGAGTGGGGGCGACCGGGGCAGATGGAGTCTCAAAATTATACGAACCAGGAGGGGGGGCCCTAACCGGTGAGCTAGTTGTGGATGCACGGGGACCTGATGGAGTATGGCGAGAAGGAACCCCGGAGGCAAATAAGGGGCGTATCTGAGGGTCCACAACTACCCTCCTAATGGTAATGCCCCATTTCTTTAAGACAGAGCGCTTTGCCATAAGCTCTCCGAGCCATGAATTGTCTTCTGGTGTTATTTGAAGACGGGAGGAACGGTCAGATGATTGGTAGTCCCTCCATAACCACACTATGGCTTCTAGTCTTATTTCCTGTGGTCTTTTACCCAGGATTTGGGCCAAGGAGTTACAAACTGCCCTCTTAGAGGTCCATCTGCCTCTGTTTACCATTTGGTCAGCAATGTCCACCGCGAACATGTCAGTTTGTAGATGTTGATCCTGAGTGCAGGCTGCGGTTGGCTGAACCAAAAGATCTGTTGTTGTATTATTGATCGTCCTCTGAGCGGCCATCACAGACCGCTGCCACTCCACGATGTTCTCAATCCTATGACTGCCCGAAGATTCTCCCCTTCCCTCAGTCAACTCATCATTCATTCCTCGTTCAGCCCCAAGATCCCCAAGATCCGACGTGCCTTTCTCTCCATTTTGGCACAAGTCCTTAGCTAGATCAGCACACAGTTCTCAGTCTTTGGGGGAATGGATTGCACAGGAATTCCTGAGAGAGGCAAAACCTCTAAGGAGGTGGTCCATTTTAATATAGTTCTCAATGTTAATATAGTTCTCAATGTTGTGTTGACCCCCAACCATAAAATTATTTTCGTTGCTACCTCATAATTTTGCTACTGTTATGACTCATAATGTAAATATGTGATATGCAGGATGTATTTTCATTCACTGGACCAAATTTGGCACAAATACCTGACACGTCCAAATTTGAATACTGGAGGGGTTGGGGGAGGGGATTGATTTTGTCATTTGGGAGTTGTAGTTGCTGGGATTTATAGTTCACCTACAATCATAGCGCATTTGGAACCCCACCAACAGTAGATTGGGGCCAAACTTCTCATACAGAAACCCCTTGACCAACAGAAAATACTAGAGGGATTTGGGCAGAATTGAGGGATTTAGGGGAGCACACGCCCCTCCTTGCTTGGAGTCTCGGAAACAGCCCTCCCCATGGCCAAGAGGACAGCTGAGAGGCCGGCCAATCACAAGAGGAGGACTTTTGGTAGGAGGATTTGCCGTCCGATTCCAAAAAAAAGAGAAAGATAGGTGGAGAGATCTTCAGCCTTCTCTGCCAGAGGGGTTCCTAAAACCATTGTGAATGTGTTTTCTGATGGTCTTTGGCAAACGCCCTGAAACCCACCTCACAACACCTCCAGGGGTCCCGACCCCCAGGTTGAGAAACTATGCATAGAGTATCATAGTAGAAAACTTGGTTGGTCCATTGAAAATGACAGTTCCCATAGCTTTCATAATTGAATAGAAAAAAGAATTTCAGTAGATGTTGCTTGTCATGCAACCAGGTGACAAACAACACCTGTTGACATTCTCTCTTCTACCCAACCATGAAAGTATCAGTCTTAGCTTTCACTTTGAAATGCCTAGTCTGAACCTCTACAACAAACAGTCAGAGGATGAACTGATATATTCAGTGAACATTTTGAAGCCCAAAGCTTCAGCTGTTATCTCTGCATTATTTATACGGTATAAAAATGTAAAAAGATTGGTGTAGGTCCAAGAAAGCCCTCTCTGCAAAGGCATTATAATCAAGTTGAACAGTAGAACAACTTCTGTCAAGAAGCTCTTCCTAATGTTTAGTTGGAATCTCTTTCCGTGCAGCTTGAAACCATTGCTCCATGCCCTAGTCTGCAGAGCAGCAGAAAACTAGCTTGCTCCCTTTTTAATGTGCCTTCATTTCAAATATTTAAACATAGCTATCTTGTCCCCTCTACCTTCTTTTCTCCAGGCTAAAAATATCCAGCTCCCTAAGTCCTTCTTCATAGGGCTTGGCTTCCAAACACTTGATCATGTCCAAGAGTGTCCAAATCACTCTTCTCTGTACACATTCTAGTTTGTCAATGTCCTTCTTGAATTGTGGTGCCCAGAATTGGACACAGTACATCGGGTGAGATCTGACAAAAACATAATAGAGAAAACTTCCTTTGATCTAGACACTACATTCCTATTGATGCCATCTAGAACCATACAGTCTTGGCTTTTTAAGCTGTCACATTACAATTGATTCTTTGAATAGCAGCCAAGCTGAAATGGTTTTTAGTCGACAGGCATGTGATGGGGAAAAAATGTCATATACTCCGCTTAACTCAGTGGTTCTCAACCTGGGGTCCCCAGATGTTTTTGGCCTTCAACTCCCAGAAAACCTAACAGCTGGTAAACTGGCTGGGATTTCTGGGAGTTGTAGGCCAAAAACATCTGGGGACCCCCAGGTTGAGAACCACTGCCTTAACTGATGAATAAATAGAATTTTTGAGTTAAGTACAACAGAATGTTTTTATATATATATATATATATATATATATATATATATATATATATATATATATTTCAAGAGTTAGCTAGAATGTTACAAAATTAGAAATAAGTGATTTCTGAAAAGGTTAAATATGTTGGCATAATGTTAATGAAACATTTGATTATGATTTTAAACATCTTTCAATTTATGCAAATTGGGTTTTTATAGTTATCCATACTTGTGTATATAAAACAGTCAGAAAGCTCAAGTCACAAGAAAATACTTTATTGCCTGCTCCCATTCTTATGGGGTTATTTTTTTATTTAGTAATGTGATATCATGATGTGTTTATTCTGAAATTCTCTTGATCATGAAGATATATTCATGAGTTTTTTTAAAAAATCACATTAGGATTTTTTGCATATGATATGGAGGAGGGGAGAGTAGTAGCACTATTGCTATTATCCAGGGGGAAATAGTTTTTCCTAAAACAAAGTAACCAATAGTTCTAGCTAGGAATAGTTTGCATGGATTTTGCTTTGAAAATGTCTTAAATTTGAGTGAATGATAAAGTATGTTATACTTATTTTGCACAAGTGGCCATTTGAATACAGATCTAGTCATGTTTCATTATTTTTGAATGTATATTTTCTAATTATATATTAGATTGTTTGTATCAAATAACAAAATTATTTTTTTTAAAAAAAAAACAGTCGAGTCAAGCACAAAATGAGCCAATATTGGTTTTATATTTTATTATCAAATAGCATTAGATGCAAAACTGAAAATACTGTGGACATATGATGATGCAAACACATCCCGAGTGTCTTTTCTGAAAATATCCAAATGATAAAACACCAAGTTGTAATTTACCTGGCCCAGCACATCTCCCTCCTAAGCCAGACATGGGAAAATTTTCCAGCCACTTCTAGCCAGAGCAAGTTACATGGGCAGTGATTGCATCCCTTCTTTTCAAATGTGGATATTTATTTTGAGCTTTTTAAAGTGCAGTCAATACATTAATAAAATTATGTAACATCATCAAATATGTGCACACTTATACCAGCCAGAGCAGAGCGTACTTGGTGTGGTTTCCTTCTGACTCCATCCCAAAGGGTATTTAAAAGGAGTGGGCAAAGAAGCAGCAGGGGCTTGCCTTTGGCTTCCTCCCTCCCCTTGCAACATCAAACAATCCCTGCATGAGGTTGCCCTGGTAGAAATAGTCTCCCAATGATTAATACATTTACAGATTTGTTCTTTGTTCCAGTTTTACTACTTCAAAATACTGCCTTGGCGCACAAGGCGTTCCTGTTTCCTCTCACAGCCTGCAGCCATTTATGTCCTCCAGAAGGTGGTGATCACAGTAAAGACGTCATTCTATATGCAGTCCTCCTGAATTCTTGGGTTAGGGAAGGTTCCTTGGGCAATACTTTATTTCCCAACCTCACTCAGGTTATATCAGACTATACGCCATGAATTCAGGCTGTATTATAATTTCAGCCTTAAATGTAAACACTTGTACATAAACACCCAGCATTCAATACAAGACTGTCGAAAATAAGTTATCATTACCCAAACTGCTGTTTAAATCATACTCATCTACTAGTAAGGAACCATGCTACTTCCAAAGTAATGAACTTAGTATGGTAAGTACTATAAAATCAGCATGTTTGAGATAACACAAACCAATTAAATGGTCTCTGGTCTCAAAAAAAATACTGAATTCCAACAGTTGTATTACATTTATGTTAATAAATGTGTATACCGATTATATAGTACTCGTACAATGTGTATTATCATTATGAATTGCTTGAAATAGCGTCTTGGATTTATACACCAGTGTCTAGTAGTATATTGAGATGAGATATCTGAGAAGCATAAGACAATATTGTTGGTTTACAAAGAGATCACCGCTGCACTCTTTTTATAAGCAGAGATCACTAGAACTGCCCAAATAATGCTTGCTTGCTCTGAATGGATGAGCCCACAAGAATAGGTTTTTAAGAAACCAAGTTGGAAAGAAGGAGAAGGTAAATAAATATATTTGCTTCTTGCCATTATAAGAGCTATTTCTACCAGTGAATCAGTTTGCAAGGTTCAAGAGAAAGAATAATGAAAATTGGCAATAGCAGGTCTCAGACAAGTGAACTCTTATGCAGATATACAGATATATTAACTGCCAGAAATATTACTAAATCATTCTTCAAAGATAGAAATATTCTACAATTAAAAATTCTTCCAACCTACTGATAATTCATGAGCTTTAGCTTCTTTCAAACCATGTAGAAAAGACACACACCAGCAAGCAAAATGCCAGAAACGAAAGCACATTTACATTTTATACTGCTACATGGTGATTTTTCCATGATACCCATTGCCCCTATCAAAGTGTGGCACTTTCTCAAAAACTGCGAGTAGGTATTAATTTTAAGCACATAACACTATATCTTTTTTTCTCCATATCAGAAACTGACCAGTTTGATTACTGTCACTAAGGAAGCAATAATCATGACTATTTTACTAGCCACTGGAATTGGACTGCCATTACACAGATCCATTTGGCAACACCTAAATTTAAAGCTGTCAACCTTGAACTGCTTTCCAATATAATCCAGTTCGCACTGTGAATATTTCCAGCATGCAGAGACATTTCTTGAACCTTCAAAAGAAAAGAAAAGAAAATTGTGAGTGTAAATATATTTATACTGAGTTTAACGTAAGAGAGAAAAGATTAAAACAGCACTAAACCATTCCATACCTTCCACATAAGACTGTTAGGTAGACTTTTAAAACATTCTATTGACTTATGATGATGCCCTTAATTTCAAAGGGAGTTTCTTGGGCAAGAAATATTTGGTGGTTTTGATGCTTCCTCTGAACTAGAGCCCACAGCATTTATTTATTTATTTATTTATTTCTTGCACTTATTGACCGCCACTCTCAGCCCTAGGGGCGACTTGTGGCGGTGAACAGCAACATAGAAAGACAATGTACAAAAAACCACAACAATACATACCAAAACTACTACTACGAACACATACTTATCCTAAAAATCCGCTTCGTCTAATCCTGGGGTCATAGCCAAATTCGTGCCAGCACCTTTTATTCATCGGCAATCTCCTAACTAACCAGGAGCTTCCCTTACTTAGCTTCCAAAAATCAGGCAGAATCTGGAGCCTTTGTTGGACACTTTTACTGCACAAATCAGAATATATGTCTCCAATTTTCTATTAAGAATCATGCTGCTTTATCATGATGCTTTCATGGTATATTAATTTCACCCATTAGGGGAAATCCACCTTTCCTAACATTCTTTTCAGAATAATTTATTTCATTATGTATTGTATAGTATTTTCTTCTTAGCAGGCACTATTTGTTTGAATGGCCATTTTTCTCTTTTCTACTACAGTGTTCCCTCACTATATCGCAGTTCGCTTATTGCAGACTTGCTGTTTCATGGGTCCACAATAAGAGGGGGGGGGAGCCGTGGGGTGGGGGGGGAGGAGGAAGGGGAACCAGGCGCTAGGCTTTACCCTGGGGCTTGTCTCTGCCCAGTAGCAGCGGCCTCCTCTTCTTTACCGAGTCTGCTGCTACCCACCTCGGAGGTCCCTTGGGCTCAGTTGACGGCACTGCCAGGCTGGGCTGAGGCCTCAGACCAGGCCTCAGCCCAGCCTGGTAGTGCCATCAACGGCACCCAAGGGTCTCCGAGGTGGCAAACAGACTCGGCAAAGAGGACGAGGCTGCTGCTGAGTGAGCAGAGCGTCCTTACTTCGCGGATTTTCACATATTGCGGGTGGTCCTGGAACGGATCACCCATGATAAGTGAGGGAATACTGTAAACCTTATGTTTGGCCTCCCTGCTGATGTATTACTGTTTCATAGATTTCTCTCAAACTTTCTGGGTTTTTAAAACTCTTTTAAAATCTCCAGATCAGAATTTTAAACATTTTCTGAAAAGTTTTTTTTTAATCTGGAAGCCATCTAAAAATTCTGCCCTTCCAACTGGAATGGGTAATTTTTTTTTTATCGGTGGAAATATAGAATGCTCAAGTTAGATAAACTGTAGAATGCACTTCCCCTAGTAGCACAGAAGGTTAAACAGCTGAGCGGCTGAACTTGTTGACCGAAAGCTCGGCAGTTAAAATCCGGGGAGCGGGTAAGCTCCCGCTGTTAGCCCCAGCTTCTGCCAACCTAGAAGTTCGAAAATATGTAAATGTGAGTAGATCAATAGGTACTGCTTCAGCGGGAAGGTTACGGCACTCCATGCAGTCATGCAGGCCACATGACCTTCAAAGCATCTACGTGGGCTCTTCAGCTTAGAAATGGAGGTGAGCACTACCCCCCCGAGTCAGACACGACTAGACTGAATGTCAAGGGGAAACTTTTACCTTTAGAATGTACTTCACTAAATAACATTTTAATATGTTTTTTTCTTAAGAGTCTATTTCACTAATGCAAATCCCTATGGTTTTATATTGTTCTTAACCATATGTAGTTACAGAGTCTCTACATTTGTGTACAGGTGTATCAGAAATTGAAAATTTTAGAGTTTGGATTTTATCTTCCACATTCCTTGAGAACATTGCTATGATAAATACAGAAATACAGTGTTTATTATAGTAACACAGGTATATAGATCCTAAGACAAAATGCATCTTTAAAAAAATAAAATATTTTTATTACTAGGTCTAGTACTACGTAAAAAACTAACATAGCACTGACTAGCAGTTATGTACAATTAACTAATAAAAAGCCAATGAAAAAGAGCCAAACATTAGTACAGAAGCCATTAATAAATAATGTTAGTTTAGGTAGAACACTCAAAAGCAAGAGTTATGTTTACTTAACAATAGATTTAAAATTTGACTACTTAACTCCCAAAATCAATAATCTATAAGTTGTCCCAACAGTGACATATCCAGCATGACATGTCAGAAAATTTATTATACTTATCACTAGCTAAACAAAGAAATAAAGTATAAGAGAGCATACTTACCAAGATATGCCACCATGCAAGCATTTTGATCAGATGAGCATGTTTGGTTAGTATTACAGGGACTATTTTGACAATTGTAACATACCAGGGCACTTCCTGAAAATAAAATAAAAGGGTTGATTAAATGCTTCTTTCCTGAAATCAAATTTCTGACAAAGCTTTAACTCTTAATTTGTTTTTGGCATTAAAGCTTTATATTGCTTTAGCAATAATTAAAAGCAACACATTTTGCCCTAGTTGAATGATACTATCAGGACTTGCTGTGAGACAGTAACCAAGCATTTTCACAGAGCAAATAACTGAACTCTCATGTGCTCAACATAAACATGCCTATATGGCAGTCGTTCTCAACTTGTGGGCCCCCAGATGTTTTGACCTTCAACTCCCAGAAACCCTAACAGCTGGTAAACTGGCTGGGATACCTGGGAGATGTAGGCCAAAACACCCAGGGACCCACAGGGTGAGAACCAGTGCTATATAGGACCTTGTCAGCTGATTCCTGATTCTGAGCTTGGCTGCTACAGGGGAGGTAGCAAAGCTTCAAACACTGACATCTCATAGTAACAATATGGGCATTACCTGATGCAGTCCATGGCATAACAATTACTGGGAGGCGGGGGAGCTCTGTTGTCTTATTTTGCATTGCTGTGCCATTGGTTGTGTGCATTGTATTTGTGTTGTACTTGTGAAACACATTTAAAAATATATAAATCGGATGCTGCAAAACTTCCTTATGAAAATGCAACATTGTTGGCACCACCTTTTGGTAACCTAGTTTCTCACTGCAGCTGGATGTTTAAAAGGCCCAGGAACACATTGTGAACAGCCTTCAATTGTGGAGGTTCTCAAACTGAGCAATGTTGCTGTGGAAAAACACTTCTCACTCTACTATGCTAATGTGCAGCGGTCCCCTAAGAAAGCACTTGAATGAACTGATGAAATGGCTGAAGTTATATATTACCCAACCGTTGAACCTAGATCACTGTGATTGCAGAATGCAGGCCGAAATAGTCATGTGTCCGCTTCAAGATAAGGTTAAGCTGAAAAGAATAATCAGCATACTGATAGCTTGTGAAACAGGAACAGAGCTCCTTGTTACTCCCACTGTTTAGTTTTGGTTCAGCAACAGATAACCACATAAAATTCACTGATTGGGAATATTTGTCCAGTTCCCAATCAGGGTTGCTTTCGTGAAGTTCACAGCACAAGACAGAATAGCTATACAAGGGCCATGATCATATACATATGCTGGGGCTGTTTAGACATCCTGCAATCCTGTTCCTACCATCTTAGGTTTTAGCTATCAGTTTATTATACATGTGTGTATGTGAAATCCTCAAGAAGATGATATCCTTTAAGTTTGAAACGCTCAAGTAAAGAGAGGCGATTCACCCTCTATATCAGTGATTCCCAACTGTGGTCCACAAGAACTAAAATATGGTCCACGGCCTCTACTTTACTACATTGAATGTGAATTTTAAAAAATGGTACAATGCAATACCAGAATGCAATGCAATACTTAATCTGCTTTGGCATGCTTCAAGAATAGAGACACCCCCCTCCTCTGTTTCTCTGCTCAGCCCCTAACTGTACTTTTGAAACATTTAACTAGAGTACTCATACTTACCAGAATGACTGAAAAAAGCTAAAAGGAAGGTTGTGATCAAAGCAATGGCCAAGAGACACTTCATCTTTGCATTAGCGCTTTCTCTTTAACCTATAAAGCAAGAACATATTACTGATTGGTGATGGATGTACTAAAGCAAGTGGTCTAATCTGGGAAAACAATAAACTGAGTACTGAGGAAAGATCTTAGTATTAAAAAATTAACTTTTGTGCTATAACATAGGCAATTTAGTGTCAAACGCCTTTCCTTGTTCCATGACTTAAACAGTATTACATAACCTACACAACACACATTGTGTATGTTGTTGAAAAATCAACCCACCTTTTGAAAAGATCAACTAAATCAAATTATGAATGTATACAGGCAGTCCCCAAGTTACAAACAAGATAGGTTCTGTAGGTTTGTTCTTAAGTTAAATTTGTCTGTAAATCGGAACAGGTATATTTTTTAAGTGTAACTCCAGCCCAAAATACAGTGGATCTTTGACTTAAGAGCAGCCCAACCGAAGAGCATTTTGAGTTAAGAGAGGTTGCTCAGTCCGGGTTTCACTTTGACATGAGGGCAGCATTTTGAGATATGAGCTACTGCCAAAGGGAGTGCTACCATGAGAATACAGAGCTTTAGGGCTTCAAGGGAGCAGCCTCAGTGCCTCACGCTCTTGTCCGCTTTGGGTGATTGCTGTCTACTTTGCTCTTGTCTGCTCTGAGGAATGTTGGGTTAGTTGATTTTGTGTTGTTTTTATTTCTGGTATGTTTGGGTTCATGAAGAGAGAGCAAGAGAGCGAGGGTAGCTGGAATGAGTACAGTATGAAGAAAATGAGGCTTCTGCCTCTTCACTTTATACCTTTACCATTCCGCCACAGCTTTGTGCTTCTACCATTTTAAAGTTGATCTTTGTTTTTTATATTGTTCCATGTGATGATGATGATGATGATGATTTGGTGTCAGGAGCAACTTGAGAAACTGCAAGTCACTTCTGGTGTGAGAGAATTGGCCATCTGCAAGGACCTTGCCCAGGGGACGCCTGGGTGTTTTGATGTTTTATCATCCTTGTGGGAGGCCTATGTCATGTCCCTGCATGGGGACCTGGCTTAAAGAGCTCAACCCATTCTCCCCAGATTCAAACCACTTCAGTCCTGTTGGCCCAAGGGTTTAACCCACTGCGCCACCGGGGACTCCTCCATATGAATGTTTAGACATTTGTGATTTATAAAGTACATTTTCTTATTTTTTTAAAAAAAATGTAACAAAAATGGGGGAGAGGATTGGTTTGTGAAACAGAATAATAGTATTTCAATGGGAAAATTCAGTTTCAGATAAGAGCATTTTGAGTTAAGAGCTCAGGTCACAGAAGGAACTAAACTCTTAAGTCAAGGTATCTCTCTCTCTCTCTGGCTTTGGATTGCATAGGGAAGGATTAACATCCCTGGGGGGGGGGGGGGGGGGGGGGTTGTTTTTGTTTTTGCTGTCTGCGTCCCCTTTCCAGAAGATTTCACTTCATTTTCTGTTCCTATGATAATTGGATTTTGGAAAATTTGACTTGTTTTGGAAACAAGAACTGGTGATAAAACTTCAGCTGAGACATCTTTTCCCCCATGATAATTCTTTCAGGAGTGAATTTCCCTTCTCGGAGGTAGACTTCTCTCACTTCCTGTTGTCTCACTCCCATTTATAACTAGAAGTCCTTTGTAAGTTGGATTTTTGTAACTCAGGGACTGCGTATATATATTTTTATTGGCACATACAAGTAGATTGTTTCTCAAGCAATCCAGCCAAGCCCAGATGTTCCAGAGAGAATGTTATTCATTGAGAACAGAATGCTGGGAGGGAGGGGAAATATGTCATTAAGCCTCACCTTGATAATCTAACAAAGGAGTTTTGGTCTGGAACTGAGGTCCAGGAAGGCATGCTTTTAAAAATATTTATTTATTTATAAATACCCATGATTACATTCTCTATGGGATTCATAGACCTATGTATACCATATATTCTCTATTTTGTAATAAAGGGACCAAGATGTGCTGAAATTGATATGTTAAGTTATGATCCAGCACATCCAGGAAACTTTTATTAACATATACTGTGCATGCTTGGGGGAACTTTTCCAGCATCCAGCTATGAGTTGGGCTCACTCAAAAGGACTAATCATGTCAAAAAAAGATCTCCCATTTCCTAAGGGGACCCAGGTGGTGAGAAACACCAGACACAAATAGTGCCTTGATGAGATCTGTATAAAGCTGCATGTCTTCCATTGAACTGCTTATGTTTGCATAACCTCTTCATTGTCTCAGCTGCTCAGACCTTTTCTGTAAACCAGACCACGCCAATAATTCCATCTTATATTATTTCCTCCTGGGAGGACCCTCCAAACAACTCCAGCTTGAAATGTACAAATGGCAACACCCCATTTTTTCTTCCACGAGAGGGACTCCACCCACCTGTGATGACAAAGGGACTCCCCAGCCAACAAGAACCAGGTCCAAATTTGACTAGTTTTCAGCAATTAGGGGAGAGCATGGGGATTTTAAATGGCTGTCAAGGGGATAAAATGTCTTGCACTGTATTACATGGTTATGTCAAATTCATTCAGACATCCTTTCAGTGCTGAAAGTAATAAACATCTGTTTATGTTGATCTTGTTTAAAAGCAGCAGGTGTGTTGAGTGACGGATCCACACTGCTCCATAAGCGGATAACTGAATTTCAGCTTCATGTGGCCCCCAAGACAATTCTGTACCAAAAACATCCAATTTGAGTGTCAACACTAAAGAAGCCCCCTAGGCTGAATGAAGCAAATGTCTCACACCATGCTTTTTACACAACATAGGTATATTTTGGTTTTAAAAGCCTCTGACAAAGAAACCTTTTTTTTTTTTACAAAGCCTCCTTTTTTTTAGCCTTCTGTCAAGCTGGAAGTTTTGTGCAGCACTGGAAAATAATAAAGAGGGTAGGTGTTGGGCTACGTCAATGGATCCACAATGAAGCCTAATCCAGAAAATTAGATTAACTCATTATTCCAGCAATCCAACTGTAACTGTGTATGCCACATCTAGCAAAATAACTAAATGCATCCAAAGTCGCTTTCTGAACATTTTGAGAAAGATAAAACAAAAGAAAAGGGGAAAGGATTACATTTTTTAAGTTCAGCTCTATATTTCGTCAGCCAAATGGAAAACACATGGAAAGTGGAGGCTACTGAAATGAAATCATTGTGGGATCTATTTTGGAAAAAAGCAACTTTGAAGTGGTTTCTAGAAGATTCAAAATGCTTTTGTTTACTCATGCAAGGTCTGCCTGACCTGACTGTTTCACATGTTCATAACTATAAATCTGAATTAAAAGTCTGCTGAAACACTTTGAGCTCTCTCTCTCTCTCTTTTTTTTTTTTTTGCAGTATTGGAATGTATCCCTAACCCCCTTTCCACGTTCTTTTCAAGTTATTTTTATCTCTAGTATCAGGGATTCTGCTGAAGAAGCAAAGTTCAGAAACACGTCTACTTTGTTAACTGAGGTGAGTATATAACAACTATTTCCAAAATTATTCCAGTGTCCAGGCACCAGCACTCAGAAAAGTGGCAGTTTTGTGGGTATTTTCTGTCCTTCCCACTGTCTGAAAACTGAAGGGCAAGCCTATCTGATTAATCACAGCAAATTGAGAACTTGGTAAGGGAAATTTCTCTCCCCAACCCTCCATTTAGTCCAGCTGCAGTTTTATTTTGGGGAAAATGCATTAAGCCAAGAAATAAAAGTGCTGAGAGTAGTGGTCAAGGGACAATAGGGAACATGTTGCTTCCCAAAGATGTTAACAATTAACTCCAAGTATCCCAATAAAGGCCACACGGGCCTCCAAACACTGGTGGATGTCTGTGTAAGCTTACCATTATGCCTCCAACTCTTACCAGACAGTTTGACTCCCTGGTTTTCCATAGTAGTTAACCTACAACTCACTTCTGCATAAGAAGCAGAAGCGAAAGATACCAAAGCTGCACAAATCTGTAGAGACTGATAAGACAGCGTCCTGAAGTACTTGAAGGAACCCCTAGCCACCATTTTTGAGAAATGTTGTAGAACAAGTGAGATGCCAAAGGACTAGAAAAGAACAAGCATTGCCCCTACTTCTAAAAAAGATGAAAAACAGAAAAGGCTGCTGGCAAAAAGATGGGACTGGTGAAATGTCTGCCCTTAGAGGCTGAAAAGGAAACTGATAGATTTTCAGATAAATTGATGAGAAAGAAGCAGCTGATATTCTATTGATGACTTCACCATTTTTCTGATTTATAATGGCTATATAACAGAATATTATCTTGTTAAGAACTCTGTGTGATACACATTGTACTTTGTACAAAATGGGGATAAGGAAATGCTAATTAAAAGCTCAGCAGTCGAACTGAAGCCCAGCAATGTTCAGCAGCTCTCCCTGCCAACCTTTGTAGCAAGACCTTTGCTCAGAGATAACACCCTGTTACTGGCTGCAACGGCAGCTGTGGACGCAACAACCCTGGACTCTTTCTATCCCATGTGTCCTGCTACTCTGCTGCCGAATATGCATGGCCAGTGTGGAATACATCTCACCACGTGAAAACAGTGGATGTGGCTCTTAATGAGACATGCCACATTATCACAGGATGTCTAAGGCCTACACCGCTGGAAAAATTATATTGTTTAGCCAGTTATGCACCACATGACATCCGCCAGGAAGTAGCAGCCAGTAATGAAAGGACCAAGGCAGTGACATCTCAGGCCCATCCTCTGTTCGATTATCAACCAGCAAACCAATGCCTTAAATCAATAAATAGCTTCCTAAGATCTACAGAGATATTCCCAGGAACATCTCGGCAAGTGAGAGTTCAAAAGTGGCAGGCAAAAACCCAAAACCTTAATAAGGTATGATAAACTCTCTCCTGGGCACACAGAAGACTGGGCAACCAGGAAGGAGCTGAATAGACTGTGCTCTGGCACCATGAGATGCAGAGCCAATATTAAGAAATGGGGTTATAAAGTGGAGTCCACGACATACAAACCACAGACCACTGACTACAATGCTGACTGAGCCCTGCCACATGCACAATGGAGGACCATCTTACATCGACAC